AAAAAAAAAAAAAAAAAAAAATTCAAGTTCTGTGAATAAACAAAAGCTGTGTGTAATTAATGCCTGCCTACTAGGCTATTTACAATTTTTTGGGTCAGTACAACTTCCATCTCCCGGATGCTGGTTGAAGCAATTCTGCTTCAGCCTCCAGAGCAGCTGGGATTACAGGCACGTGCCATCATGCCTAGATAATTTTTGTGCTTTTAGTGGAGACGAGGGTTTCAACATGTTTTCCAGGCTGGTCTGAAACTCCTGACCTCGTGATTCACCTGCCTCGGCCTCCAGAAGTGCTGGGGTTACAGATGTGAGCCACAGAGCCCAACCGAGGGAGTTTCATTCTTGTTGTCCAGACTGGCATGCAACGGCGCGGTCTCGGTTCACCGCCACCTCAGCCTCCCGAGGCTGGGCTATTTTTTTTTTTTTGGTTTTTTAGCAGAGACGGGGTTTCACCATGTTGGCCAGGCTGGTCTCGAATGCCTCGGCCTCCCAAAGTGATGGAAATTACAGGCCTGAGATACTGCGTCCTTTCTTTCTTTAAATTAAAAGAGGCAGCGTCTCACCCTGTTGCCCAGACTGGTCAGAACTCCTGGGCTCAGGCGACCCTGCCCTCTGCAGACCAGGCCCCCGTGCCTGCCGCCTCGGGGGTTTTCTTAGGAAGGCTTTGCCAGGGTCGGGCTCAAAAACCCCGAATCTCAATCTGCCGGCAGAGGGACACCAGCTTCCTCTTACCTCAAGCAACAGGGCACTCAGGTCCTGGCGGCTTCTCAGGAGGCGCACAGCTGATTCCTTTAATTTCTGTGCCCTCTCAGGACTGTATTTTTGCCTCTTCACCCTGCCAGCTACAGAGAGAAGTCAGTTCCAAGCGTCACGGCGCTGTGGACACAGGGGTCCCCGGCTGGACACGCAGGAGGCCGCGACGGGAGACCCACCGGGACACCCCCCAACAGGGGCCGGCCGTCCTCCCCAAGGCGCAGGTCTCGGGAAACCAACGGAAACGGCCCCCGCGCAGACAGCGGGGAAGACGGCCCAGGAGGGCCCGGGGTAGGGAAGGCCGGGGGAGGCTGGCGAGGGGCGGCGTCTGCGCTGCGGGGAACCCCAGGCCGCGGGAGCCGGACGGGCGGACCCCGAAAGAACCTCGGTTCGTGGAGCCGCCCACCCCAGAGCCGGCTCTGACAGGGCAGGCGGCAGAGGCGGCGTTCGGGAAAAAGGGGGCGCCCCGGGGGCGGGGGCGGGGGCTGGGGCTGGTGGCGCCGCCCGGGCGCAGGAGGGGCCGGGTCGAGGCCGGGTCCGAGGCAGCCGGACGACCCCGGCCTAGCGCCCACCCCGCGTAGCGCCCCGGGCGCGGCCTTCTGGGGTCGGACTGGCGGAGGCTCGGGCGAGAGGAGTCGGGGTACCCGGGAACCCGTCCGGGGCCCGGCGCCGCCCCCGCCCGCCTACCCAGCAGCTCGGCCCAGGACCTCCGGCGGCCCCCCGGGCCCTGGCCGGAGGAGTTCGGGACCCGCGAGTCGGACATAGCCGGCGCTCCGGCGGCCCGGGCGGCGACGCACTGCGTCTGAGCCCGCGCTGAGCCCGCGCTGCCTTCCTATTGGCTGCGGCCAGGCGAGCGCGTTCATTGGCTGGTGGCACCCAGGCCACGCCCTTAAGCTCCAGGCGCCGCGACGCGGCCTCGTGCGTCCTGGCGGAGGCGCCTGCGCGGGAGAAGGGCGGGCGGGGATTCGCAGCGCCGCGGTGTGATCCGCGAGGGCAGCTCGCGCGGGGACAGCTCGCGCGGGGAGACTGCGGCCGCTCGGGCGTGGTTCCTGCTGGGGCTGACGGGCTGGTCCGAAGAGACCACCCGGCCGGCCAGCCGAGGGAGGCGCCGAGCAGCGCCGTTCCTCCTGCCGGCGGCCACACGGTCCGCGCGCAGGGCCGCTTTGCCGCAGCCGGGGGCGGCGCGGTGGCCGCGCCTGTGTGCCCTGCACTTTGAGAGGCCGAGGCTGGAGGGTCGCTTGAGCCCAGGAGTTCCAGACCAGCCTGGGCGACATAGCGAGACCCCATCTCTTTTTTTTTTTTTTTTTTGAGATAGAGCCTTGCTCTGTCTCTTAGGCTGGCCTGTAGTGGCACTGTCCGGCTCACTGCAACCCCCAGCTCCTGGGTTCAAGCGATTCTCCTGCCTCATCCTCCCAGGGAGCTGGGATTACAGGTGCTCGCCACAATGCCTGGCTAATTGTTGATTTCTTAGCGGACACTGGGTTTCACCATTTTGGCCCAGGCTGGGCTCGAACTCCTGACCTAAGGTGATCCTCCCCCCTCAGCCTCCCAAAGTGCTGGGATTACAGGCATGAGCCACAGCGCCTGGCTGAGACCCTATCTCTTAAACAGCCTGGGCGGCAGAGAGAGACCCTGTCTCAAAAGAAAACAGGTTGTTTAGCCGGGCGCGGTGGCTCAAGCCTGTAATCCCAGCACTTTGGGAGGCCGAGGCGGGTGGATCACGAGGTCAAGAGATCGAGACCATCCTGGTCAACA